GCTTCCGCCATGTCGCCGCCCTGGGCCGGCCGCGTGCGTGGGCCGCGGCCTTTGTGGCCGCACGTGTCCGCGCGGGCCGACCTCGCTCTCTTACCGCAGGGACACCGCGATGGCCGCCCAGGGAGAGCCCCAGGTCCAATTCAAAGTAGGTCTCGTCCGGGCGGGGCGGGCGGGCGGCGGCTGCGATGGCCGGGAGCGGGCGGGAGTGGCGGCCGGGCCCGTCTTTGTGTCGCGGCGGAGGCGGCGGAGTGCGGGCGTCCCGGCGGCCACGTCACCGGCCCCGGGCGTCCCTGCGCGCCGGGGTCGCCTCACGCTTGCTCTCTTCTCAGCTCGTGTTGGTGGGTGACGGTGGGACTGGGAAGACCACCTTTGTGAAGCGTCATTTGACCGGAGAGTTCGAGAAGAAGTATGTAGGTAGGTGCGGGCCGCCGGCGCGTGGAGACCCGGGCAGGGACGAGTTCGCGCGCTAACGCCGACTGTGTCATTCCAGCGACTCTGGGCGTCGAGGTGCACCCGCTCGTGTTCCACACCAACAGAGGGCCCATCAAGTTCAATGTGTGGGACACGGCTGGCCAGGAGAAGTTCGGCGGCCTGAGGGATGGCTATTACATCCAAGGTGGGTGTCCAGCCTGCCCTGGGCACGGTGGTACCAGGGATCAGTCCCAAGGTCACTCACTAACATCACCTGACCAGTCAACGTGCAAAACGGACTCTGCAGGGCCCTGAGATTCGGGTGGGTAGGGTCTGCTTCCTCTAGGCAGTGCCCGCTTCCAGGGGAGAACTATTCTAAGGATGACCTGGAGCTTTTCATCTTAAGAACGCGTTCTGAAGATGTCCTGGGTCATTTCATCTCCTGAAGCTCACACCACATGTTGAAGGTCACAATTTAAAAGCAAAAATAGTAGACAAGTAGTTTCTCAGAATTTCCAAGCTTGTATTTGCCAGTGTTTTCCTGGTTATCAGTGATTCTTCACCAGAGGAACAGTTTTCTTGAGCTTCCAGTGTGGTAAAAGATCAGTTGGAGTTTTTTAAAAACTGCATTTAGGTTTGCAGAATTCCTCCCACCCCCCACACTTTTGAATTTCTAAGTGAAATGTATCTAAACTGTAAGCTAAAGAAAGAAAAATCTGAAATCTTACTTTTTTGATGAAAAGTTGTTGGGGAGCCCTCCCACACTGTCTGTTTTCCCTGAGTGTACAAATACAGGGATTTCCCCTAAAACAATTTTTTAGCCCAAATCTGCTTCCTTATTAAAATTTTGTTAGTGGTTCCTTTCAACTATAGAGGTCAATGTATGGAGTTGACTGAGCTTTTTAAAATTAAGGTATTGTCTTGTATGCATCCTTTTAAGGCCTTTTTTAAGGCCACAATCCTGGACCCTCAGAACATGAGAGGTAGTTCTCTAGATACTGACTTTTTGGCTGTAATTGATGAAGTATTTATAAGGGAAGGATTTAACAGGATGAGCTAGCTGGTCTTTCACTTAGACTAAAAATGAAATTTAAACTTAGAGTGGGAATGGCCTTTGGAATTGAGTAGAAATATTTGGATGACCCAGAATTAGTGCTAAAACTGTAAACTCAAGGTTTTTTTCATTTCTAATTTCCTAGTAAATCCCTAGATGTGTCATTACTTTTTTCTTTCAGCCCAGTGTGCCATTATAATGTTTGATGTAACATCGAGAGTTACCTACAAGAATGTGCCTAACTGGCATAGAGATCTGGTACGAGTATGTGAAAACATCCCTATTGTGTTGTGTGGCAACAAAGTGGACATTAAGGACAGGAAAGTTAAGGCAAAATCAATTGTCTTTCACCGAAAGAAGAATCTTCAGGTACGTGTCTTAAGATTTATTTACTAAACTTCACGCCACTTGGAGAAAAAGTGTCTTGGGTGCATGGATTTTAGAAAATGTATCCTTTTATTTTGGATATTGTTCTAGAATAACTTTTGAGCAATGGAATATGTTAATTCTCTCAACACAGTACTATGACATCTCTGCCAAAAGTAACTACAACTTTGAGAAGCCCTTCCTTTGGCTTGCTAGAAAACTAATTGGAGATCCTAACTTGGAGTTTGTTGCCATGCCTGCCCTTGCTCCACCAGAGGTTGTCATGGACCCAGCTTTGGCAGCACAGTATGAGCACGATTTAGAGGTATGATGTGTATATTTTCAGTTTTGGTGTTAGGTAGGGCTGTTACATCGTCAGGCCTTTGACGTGAGGTGTTAACATGTTAATCGTTTTCTAGGTTGCTCAGACAACTGCACTCCCGGATGAGGACGATGACCTGTGAGAGGATGAAGCTGGAGCCCAGCGTCAGAAGTCTAGTTTTATAGGCAACTGTCCTGTGATGTCAGTGGTGCAGCGTGTTTGCCACTTTATTATATAGCTAAGCAGAACATGTGCTTAATTTTTGGGATGCTGAAGGAGATGAGTGGGCTTCGGAGTGAATGTGGCAGCATTTAGCTGTTTCGGAACATAGTTGTTTCCTTTTTGAGTTTCAAATATGACTGCTATAAGTCACATCACAACATTCAGTGGTGAAATTCTGTTTGTTACTGTCATTCCCAATTTCTTTTCGTTTAGAATCAGAATAAAGTTGCATTTCAAATATCTAAGCAAGTGAATTCATCCCTTGTTTAATAGCATTTTTTTGTTAAAAGATTTATACATACAAAAACTGGGGTACAGGCCACAGGTACAGGGAGTAAGAGGATTCACCAGAGACAGTGGAGAACAGAACAGGCTGATCGACTGAGAAACACTGCTGAGAGGAGCAGCGGGTGAGACGGGTGAGGTCTGCCATGCCATGTGGGTCACCTCCCTGGCTGGGGATTGAACCTGTACCACAGTTGCTGCAAATAGCCCCATAATGCTGCGCTTTGACCCATCATGCCACCACGGAGGGCCCTTAATAGCATATTAAAGCCACTATTGAAAATTATGTGCCATAATTGAAATTGCCTTTGCTGTTACCAATTGAAGTCTAGGTTGAATTCTGTGTCATTATTTGTATTTTAGAAGCATTTCACATATTGGCTGTGACATGTCTATAGTACTCTTGGGGAAGTTAAATGGTGTAAATACTATAATGCCAGTTAAGTAATGTTTACCCCACCTGCCCTTTAAGTAGTGCTACCTGGGGGGGATATCTTGTTGAAGATTGTGACCTGTCATAATAAAAATGGTACCTGTGTAGACATTGCTGACAGCTGTTCTAAACATCATAGTTGCATTTATTTTACAGCAGAAGTGACCTTGTTTTAATGTTAAACTTTTCAGAGTTGAGCGAGACCGTACAAGTGACTAGGAACTGGAGGAAAGTCTCATCTGTTAATGATGTGAATGATGATGCGTTGGTTGTTGCTGTTCACTGTTTTCACTTGATACTTTAGGAAGGTGATCCATGTTTTCCCACTGCGAGAACTCCCAGATTGCAAATACGTTAAAAAGTTACAAATTCCAGTTGATGGATCTGCCTCATTTTTGGCACACAAATCTGGTTCTATGGAGGATAAGTAGCACTCAGGATGGCTTCCCTGTATTGGGAAACACTGGAGAACCTTTCTTGGATTAGCCATTTACCGTTTTCTTTTTATTTCCATATTTAAAAATGAGTCAGGTCTGTCTTGCCTAAGAGTTTGATCCCACTGCCACTGCTGTAGCGATTAATAACCTGAAATAGGAGCTGTTTTGCTCATGTAAGTACTATAGTTGACTTTACCAAAGTTCCTTAGATGTCCAGTTATCCTTAAATGATTACTTTTCCTAACTAGAAAGGATCGCCAGATGGCCTTTTTTAAACATGAAAAAATGAAACAAAGGCTGGAATTAGAATTCAACTTAACAGAAGATACTAATTAAGTGCTACCCTGTATAGTCAGATTTGAATTGTATCTGCTATGCTGTATTCAGTTATGAACCAGGTCAAAGTCTGGGATGTGAAATGTTTGTTCCCTTGATTGGAGTGAAATCTTTCCTTCAGATATTTAATGTGAGGGTTATGTGTTTGTAACCTTATGTTAGATTGTAAGTATGACAAATTCTGAAACATGTAACAGTTAAATTTTGGAAGCTACCTGTTTGATATGGTGTGGGAGAGTATTCACAAGTTACTCAATGGAAGAAAAAAATTGCAAAATATATTGCTTCTACTTTGCCTGGATTTTCTGAATCATGTAGCATTCACTGGAAAATACTCAGTCTTTTGGGGGGGATATAGTTATATCTAGTTTATATACAAATTGAAGGGTTTTCCTCAGTTTTTTTGACACTTGATATCCAAAGGGGGTACCCTTGAATGCAAAACCTTAATTGCTCAGTGCAGGCTAATTAAGGCTTTTTCTACTAGAAAAATCACTTAAGACCAGCCTAGTTACTTTGGCTCACACAAATTAGGTTTTTTTTGTCAGAAAAACAGGGGTACAGGCCAGAGGCTCGGTGGTGAGAGGCTTCACCAGAGACACAGGAGCAGAACAGGCAGATCTATGAAGTACACTGCTGAGGGGAGCAGCGGGCGGGTCAGGAGAGGTCTGCAGCACCATGTGGTCACCTCTGAGGCAGGCAGGATCGAACTCTTGCAGAAGTGGCTTTAACTTCTCAGTGCTGTGCTTTAACCCGCTGTGCCACCAGGGAGGGCCGATTTTTACAATTTGCTGAAGTATTTCATAAAAATATGGAGTACCAAGAGTTAATGCTCAAAAACGCTTCATGATGGGCTATGGCCAACATACAATCTAGCACATGGGTTTTTTATTCTGTCAGTTGCAAAATAAAGATGATGAAAAATTCACTGGACTTTCAAAAAGGACAGATAACCTGACACACACTTGAAGTTCTGGTTTCTGTAGTAAAGACATCAGTGGTTGGGAGCAAAACGGGCAAGGGTTAAGTACACATGAGATAAGTTTTTGACGACAGTTGTCATTTTGGGGTTGCAGGTATCCAACCTGACAATACATTAGATCTTTCCTGTACCTTCCTGCCGCTGACAGGAAGTCTTGGAATGGGGGCAGGATGGGGTGGTAATCCCTGAGCACTTAGTGAAGCTCCCTGTGGATTCTGTTCTGACAATGAATTCCCTGCTCCAGGTTCCTGTGAAGCCTGGCTGGGCTCTGTCCTTTCAGGCTTGGGCCAGAGGATCCCATCTGCACAGCTGTCTCTGGCCCTTAAAATGCGCCTTTTCCTTTTAATATTAGTTGAGAACTGTAGCTGTTAGGCCTCTTACTGGTTTTCGTTTTTAATTTATTTTTGAAGATTTTATTTAGGCATACAGAACTGGGGTACAGACTAGAAGTGCAGGTATGGTGAGAGGATTCACCAGAGACAGAGTGGGGAGCAGAACAGGCAGATAAAGTATACTGCAGAGGGGAGCAGCGGGCAAGGCACCCTGTGGATTACCTCTGGTGCCTGGGATAAAACTGAAGCAGCTGTGGCTTGCTCACAGTGCTGTGCTTCAACCCGCTGCACCACCAGGGAGGGCCATGTACTGGTTTTAAATCCGGTCACAGATGCTCCTCCAGTAGGCTTCACTATGGTAGTCCCCTGCCCCCCTCCAGGGTAAATTTGCATTTGTCCTTCCTGCCTTCTGAGGGTGTGGCCATCAAGTGTTACTCTCTCTCTGTGCTTAAGGGAATCTGAAGAAAGGAATTTGAGAGAAGGGGGTGATGGATGGAGAGGACTTTGTTACTCTGTTATAGCCTGTGACTAACAGTGCAAACCCCTGTGAGTTTGCAGCTGGACCTCAATATTCCAGTGTTTCCTTGAGAGAAGTAGGGGTGGGTCTAGAGAACAGGCCAAGAGTCCTTGAGACATCAGTGCCATAGTTGCTGGGTCAGGGGTACATGGTGTTTAGCTGTAGTTCAGGAAGGGGGACTGAGCTGGTTTCCATTCCTGAAGAAGCAAAACACCTCCCTAGACATGGTACCTTGTGTCTCATTCCAGGAACTTGGAGCTCTGCTTGCTCCCTAGGGGGCCGTGTGGGCAGTAAGAGCAGTCATGCCAGGACAAGGGCCTGGTGCTGCTGTAAAGGCAGGGAGGGGGCCCACATGTGACCAGAGCAGGTTGAGAATCCACAGCCCAGGCAGACACCGAGGGGTAAGGCCCAGGGCATGAGGACAGCACCACACAACATCCTGTTAGCAACAGTCAAAATAGTCAAATATCAGCTTAGAACATCATGCACTCCCAATATAACCACCATGCCCACTTTCCTTGAGGCCACTTTTACTCAGAAGGGCAGTAGTGCGATAGTTCAGAGCATAATGCCATTCTCATGGCTATTATGAGCTGATGACTGCAGTCAAGTGCTGCCATCATCTCAGGTCTGGGGCAGGAACATTGAAGGTCCATTCAGCAAATTTTAAGTGTCTAGCACAGGATTACAGCTCCAGCCACCACAATGGAGTTGGAGCCCTAGGACTAGTCCTGCATAATTGGACATAATAAACAGGAAAAAAAAAAATACCAGGCCGTGCGCTTAATGGCTGCCCATGTGGCTGCTCGAGGACATGTGCACCAGTGAGGCCTCCCACTTCCCTTTGACCACCTCTCCCCATTTGCCAAACTCAAAGTCCCTGTAGTCACCAGTCTAGTCTCTTATGAGTGGTGTGTTTAGATTCCACATGTGAGGGGTCACACACAGTCTGTGTCTGGCTTATTTCCCTTCATCTATGCCTTAGAAGTTCATTTATGTTGTCATAAATGCCAGGAATTTTTATTTTATTTTTTTTAAATGTTTATTTATGCATGTAAGAGCTGCAGTGTAGGCCAGAGGTACAGGGGAGTAAGAGGAGTCATTAGAGACAGAGTAGGGAGCAGAACAGGCAGATTTGACAGAAATACACTGCTGAGGGGAGCAGCAGACAAGACAGGAGAGGTCTGCTGTGCCGTGTGGGTCAGCTGCCTGGAGGGGGATTGAACTCGTGCTGTAGTGGCTTCTGATAGCTTTATATAAGTGCTGAGACTTAACCCCTTGTACCACCAGGGAGGCTCTGACAGGACTTTTTATAGGCCGAATAATATTGCATCATATATATATATATACTTAGAGTCTATATCATAGGATTTTACACATACATTCTAAAGCACTACCCATCTGTGTGCTAATAGACAGTGTACATCTTTTGTAAGTAAGTTTGCTTAGAGGAGGTGGTGAAAAATGAGGGCACATCCCTGAGTAGGATACTTGAGCCTATTGTCTGAGTAAAGACACCGATCTGCAAATCAACGCTGATTAGTTCACAGATAAAGCCTTTGGCCAGGGCAAGCTCTGTGAGCGCAGGAAAGCCAAACTTTTAGGAAGAATTCTGTTTATACCAGATGCTAAAGTCAGCCTGGCAGAGTGAACTAACGGGCACTTTTGGGGTAAGTAACATTTGTATTTTGATCTTCCCTACACACATATATTATTTTTTCCACCAAGGTGGAAAAAAGAAAAACAGCCATGTATTTTATTGAAATGTTAAGGATTGGACAAGTTAGCATGAGCAGTAATCATGCTTTACTACCACGTGAGCTATCGTGGTGACGTATCAAATGTCTTCTCAAAAAAATGGGATTATGTTGTAATACTATTTCACCACCATTTCCCACTTTTTCTTACGGGCTTTCCTGTGTCAGGCTGTCACACT